CGCTTCGCCTCGCTTCGCCTCGCTTCGCCTCGCTTCGCCTCGCTTCGCCTCTAGGTGACGGATGCAGAGCGCCGATGTGAGGAGCGCGGATTCAAACAGACCTCCCAGGCTAACCCGGAAGAGTCGACCAGTCGACCCACCGAACAAACCCATCGGCGGCCGATGTGGCGCGGCCGATGTGGTGCGAAGTCCGAGAACCGCGAGCTAGGACGCTCGTGCGGCCACCCGAGCCGAGCGATCAGCCCGTGCACATGCAGAATCCCAGGCGGGGGGTGCAGTGATTGGAGGGAGAGAAGATCTCAGCATCATGAGTCTCATGAGTGATATATGTCGTGTGATCTGAATACACATGATAATAGCATGGGCTGTGGCTGTGAGTCAAAGTGCAAAACCTGAAACACCACCTGATGGTAGTTTAGCGTCCCTGCGTTTTGACCCAGAAGAGAACATGCTCCAAAGATGCTTCAAAAATGGAGGACACAGTGGAATCGGCAGGGGCTGTGCTTGTGGCGATGTGAAAAGAAGTGATCACTTGGCATTCACCGTCAACAGGTGAGAGAATGCCAGCGTGAACTTCGAGCTTACATCCCAGAGATGGAGATGAACACATGTGCACATGTGTGATGGTTTTTCTTCGAAAGAGGACAGGTAAAAGATGGTAAAAGTGGTGTTTGCATGTTTTGGGGTTGGTGGATGTGTCTTCTTGTGGGTCTGCCCGGCCGGCATCCAACCAACACACCGCATGGGCCCCGTGGGCGCGGACCTGGGGCCCCAGGGCACCTAGGCCGCCAAGTGAGGTCATAAAGAGTCAGCTTCAAGAGCAGGTCTCAAGCTGAGCGCGCGACGGACGGAGGATGCGAAAGAACGCGGCGTTTTGCTGTGTTTTGCTTCGTTTTGATGCACTTGGGTGTGTTTGGTTGTTCTTTTGGTTCCAAATGGTGGCGGCGTCTTTGTTTTTTGCCCCAAAGGTGGCAGATGCAGAGGTGCTTCGAAATGAGGCACCCGGCGATGTCAGAGGCGTCTCAAAATACCATATATAACATCATATAAATAAAGTCTGTAAAGTACATTTCAGCGGAAAGGACTGTAGCAACAATTGCTTGTGGGCGCATGAGTTTGACAGACCTGTGCCGCACATTTGTGCGTATACTTTGAAAGACTTTGCTATCTTTGCTGAAGTACATTCAAGTACCCATCATGAGCCCTGAAAGACTAGGAACAAGGACGCTACTACTTGTAGGGGCTCCTGGCATCGCTACTAGTAACAAGATCATACTAGGGGCTCCTAGCCTTACTACTAGGAGCAAGAAGCTACTAGGAACAAAAGGAACCTTTCTTTCACCAGATGCTCAAACATCGCCGTCACGAGGGGGAGGCGCAACGGGGGTCGATCGCGCAAAAAACCGCAACGAACACGATGGAAGGGGTGACGCGACACGAAGGCGAGCGTCGAATGCGCCAGGCACGGAAGCAACGGTTCGCCACCGAAGACAAAGAAGCAGAAGCGGTCCGATGGCAGGCCATGGTGCTGGCGGCTAGCAGCTAGCACTGGCACAACGGGCGACAGCATGTTGCCCATGTCATCTGGTTCAGAAGTTATTATAAGAAGAAGATAGAAGTGATAGAAGAATATATTTTCACAATCCATACATTCATGACCTATATATAGATAAAAGCATTAATAATAATATATATATATAAGTATATATTATATATTTACAAGTAAAGAAGCACAGCACAATGCCTCTGGCGCCTTTGGCCGCGTCAAGCTTCTTCTCGCGTCTTCAGGAGCAAGCCCGAGCTCTACAAAAAGAGTTGAAGCAGTTTGGACGGCGACAAGCAGCATGGCCACAGGCAGGTTCAGTATTTTCATCTCGGGAAGTCCTGGGAGTGTGCTCGACTCGACGTCTCGAAGATGTCGACGTCCATCGACGTCCGGTCGACCGATGAAGGAATCCTTTCCCCACTGATTTTGGACCGATGACTTTTGGCACGTGGAGAAAAATAGCTTATTATATCCCTAGGGCTCCTGGCCTACCTCGTGGGAAGGTGGTTGGGGTAGGTTTCAAGGGGTCTAACATGGTCTAACCACCTTCTGAGGATATGGTTGGAGCAGCTATAAGCAGCTTATGTGATCTCTGAGAGTCCAACCACGGCTTTTTAAAGATAGAGTCGTTCCTATAAGTTGTTCCAGGCTATATCATGGACATGCAGTGCTTGGAGTGGATATGAAATCATATGAATGCATTCGAGAAACTGACCCATCTTGTGCTTGATAGATTTGAGCCTGGCACAAACGATCGATTCGAGGTAGCAAGAGTCGAGCGACGTGCAGAGTGACGGTCGCTGCTACATGGGCAACCGTCAACCGTGTAGTTGTAGAGCTTATATACTGTAATACAGAATACATGATAATACATTCAGCCAAGCTCGACTTTGCGGAAGGGTTGTGTTCTTACATGCAAAACCCACCCAGGTTCTACTGTACCTGGTCATGTAGGGTATGGCCTAGAGTAGCCTAGAGTTGAGCCCAGCATATCTGACAGAAGGACGAGGAGGAAGAGCTACGACCCCTTCTTTGGGGGGATGCGGGGGGACTCTTCAAACGAAGCCAAAAACGTCCAAGAGGAAAGAGGAAAATTCTACAGCTACAGCACAGCACACATCATAACAAAACAAACTCCGCACTACCCACTCGACACGCCGGCAAGGCCAGTGGATTACATCATAAAGGGTGAAGATAGCCTCAAAAATAGCCACTACAGTAGGGGGCGGTGACCTAGATTTTACCAGCTGAAGCGTCCACTTCCCGTTGCCTCGACCCTTTCAGGACACTCTCAAGACAGTCCAGATCTCAGAAACCGAAGGAAACGATACCGGGTGGCAGAATGTGGTGAAGCGTCATTCAATGTTCAAGGTGTTCAATCTGTTCAAGGTAGATGATGCCCATGTTTCGCCTTGATCAAAAGCCCACCCTCTCAAAGACTCGAGCGGATGCTCAGGACAACCTCATGGCCACAGGTGCATTTTCTGACGCGTCGTTGTGGAACAACGTGTCTTCGTTTGGGTCTGAAAACGTGCCGGGCTGCACTGGATAAAGGAAGCATAAGGAAGCGAACTTGCAGGCTGTCCAGAGGGTGATGTGTATCAATGTTCACCCGCATCATGTGATCTTGATGTGATGTCTTGTCATCATGCATCATTCCAGTTCTACGCATGATGTTGATAAATAATCACAGTATGTCGCATATACCTCAGCGACACGACTAGGAGGATCAGCTATCCAAAACAATCATGTTGTTTCCAATGAAAAAAGTTGCCAAGTAGGTTTTAGGTTCTATGTGAATCATATATATTAATTATTGTATATATATAT